TCAGAATGGACTGCAGTTTCAACCTTGCTAGGTCTGATCAACACTCCAGCGGGAGTCAAATTGTGACAGTGCAGTATGCGAGCCTGACACGCTAACCACTTAGCCATACTGCCACGAGTGCCCTTGGGTCATAGGGCAGATGCGAATTTGCCAGTCCATGACTTGACGCTAGAAATTATCATGACTAATATAGCAGAAGACTCCGAACAAGATGCGCTTAAATGGCTCTTTCTGACAGCATAACCAAGTCGCGAAAGCTGAGTCAAACCACCCCATCAAACGAAAAGGGATCGCAGGCAAGATAGCGGCAATGCAATCTCGGTCTTTTTGTTTCTGTTCTATTCTTTTATAGTTTAAAACTAGGTATACTAATATTTGAAGTTGATTAAAAATTATTTAAAATAATATTCCTTTAATTATTTCTTATTTCGTTCTTGAGTAAGTTTTTGAGAATACTAGTAAATCAGTAAAACAAAAAAAGTAATCCTATAGCAAATATAAGTTTGCTTCATCGACAATCCACCACAAAATGTGATATGGAAAAAATACCTTGAAATTCACATCTGTCTTGTGACCCAGGGGCACTCGTGGCAATGTGGCCTCATGCTTAATGTGTCGAGATTACATGCTGTACTGTCATAGTTCGATTCCCGTTGTAGGTGTTTATAAGACCTATTCGAGATCGAGACTGCAGTCTAACCTGGATAAGAACACATTTTTTGGAAAGCAAGGCTATGTCGAATTCAACAAAAACGTCAGCTCTACTCATATCATTGTGGGTAAGTTCAACTACTAGTCCTTCATCACTTTAAACGAGATAGGGTGAATACAGCTCCTAATTATTACTTACTTTTATTGAACTCAAAACCTACATGTTTTTTATTTGCTTTCTGAATTTTATTATTTACCTTTCATTTCAACAGGCATCATCGCCAATTTAAGGAAGCTTCCCATTTGTACTTCCTGGGTAATATTCCTTTCCGCCGCAAGATTCATTCCCTTATGGCGGACTACTTTGCCGGTCTTTGGTCTGGGGGCAGACAGAAGCCATTTCATTATCCGAAATACCTCATTGAAAAACTGGTAAACGATGCAGCATCTCTTATCTATTTCTCGTACTGAATATGTTTGTGACTTCAAGAAGACTAAATTTGAAATGTTTTATAATTATTTAAGTAAGAAAATTTATAAACAAATTGATAAAAGTCGCTTGTTGATTCTCTGGGTTCCAAGACATACTTAACTAATCTCACAATCATTTTTACTTCACCAAATCCTATCTTATTTACCTTGTTTTTATCATCCATCTAAGCCAGGATCTGCCACGTTGGTCCCTTGAAGATCGTGGTGTGGCTCTTCAGCCTTACCAGTTCATCGTAGAATCACCCCGACAAACCTTCAATGTAGAACCTGCCAAGCCTGTCTTAGGGCATCGAGCTACGGGCAAGAAAACATCTTCACAGATTTGCTTTTACAAGAAATCTCTTCAATCTTTTGTCAACAATAAGAATCAACCAAAAAGGCAGAAAGAAAATGTGAAAATTGGCATGCTTCATGCTATAAAATCAGTACCTCCTTTTCCCCAACGCACCCTCTGTGCGCATTCTGACTGTCAATTTTTTGAACAAGTCGGACAAATGGCTTCAGCTGAAAGTGGCCAGAATGATACGCTGCCCACAGAGCGGCGTATTCTTTGCCTAAATCAAGTGAAAGCCACTACCAAGTCTGACTCTCGCAGGCGACATTTCCGGACAAATATGGTTCCGGTAGTATCCCTGCCAGAGGAATCATTGGATCAAAGGATTCTAGGAGAATTAGTTAAAAGAGTATATAACTTGCGCAAGCTGAATGAGTTACCCTGGCATCTGGCCTGGTCAGGCCGGCTCTACGAATTTCATTCGGAAATTACCTTCAACTACACTTTTCTTGCATCTAGACTGCAGGCCACTTCATGGTAAGTTGCTGACTGTACTAATTAACTTCGGGAAGGGAAGCATGCCCAAACCAGAGACAACCCCTGAGCTTATAAATATTATATTTAAACGTAATCACGTCCACTTCGTAATTCTTAATGTGTAGTACTACTATTATATGAACCTGAACCCCTGTACCATGTTTTTTTCAATACACTAATGGCATTTGCCTGAATGGCTGCAAGTTGTTTCTATCGAAGCCCAAAATCTGAATCTTGAAAGGGATGATTTAAATATAAAATAAAG